GTCCGCGGCAGCTGCGCTGCGGGCTCCGTGCAGGGTCCGGGGTGGGGCCCGGCAATCTCCTCACCCCGCAACGGCGCCCCAGTCCAAGCGGCCACCCTGCGGCGCGGGCCAACGCGAGCTACTCTACAGTGGGAGTGTCACGGCTTACAACTAAGTGCTCCACGCTAAAATCGGGGACACCGTTCACTGCAGAGGCCGGGGGGGCGGGGGAGCAGGTACTTGAGCAAATGAAAGTCTAAGTGGCGAATGATATATTCTGGTTCATGAAACGGTCTGCGAATGCAGCGGCAGAGCATTTCCCCTCCTTTAAGGAAAAAGATGAAACATAAGCAAGTGGTCGCTGACACGAAACGACGGAAACGCGGGCAGCCGCCAAGCTCCACGCCCGCGCTCCGGCTCCGCCTGCAGGGCGCCTTCCAAGGCTGAGGGCTCCACACTGCAGCCACCCGGGCCGCACAGAAGAGTGCCACGCCCGGGCCAGGCCTAAAGAGGGCACGTGTGCAACACAACCTGGGGGGAACATAACAAAACGTCGGCAACTACTGCTGCTGAGCAGAGCAGATGATTTTCTGAACTCGGAACGTGCTCGTCCCACGCTGACTGCGCATGCGCGCGCACAAGCTGTTCGCAGCGGAGACGCCTGTGCAGTACCGCGTCCCGCGCTGAGCGGCGGCGAGCTCACCGATTTATCTGTGCGCATCTAGAAGCAACAAAGCAAACTTTCAAAGGGTACCGGATCTCTGTGTACAATAAAATGCGAATAGTGTAAGTCAATCTTTTAAAATATCCCATTCCTTGGATATTGGGAAATGGGAAGAAAATGTTCAAATGAGAAGGGGAACAAGAGAGGGCGGGGAAGGAAAGAAGAGACGAGAAAGGACGACAGTGGAAACGAAGGTTTTGTACATGGACACCTACAACCCCCCTAAGATGAATGCTATCATTATGTACACCTAAAATCTACAAATGAGATGTTTTAAAAATGCCATTTCTGTAACACTCACCCTATGTGTTTTGAATAGTGTGGTCCTAGTCTTTTACCTTAAAAAATATTATTTTACTTTTTACAAAGCAGCAAAATTGTTCCCCAAATTTGTACAGGAGATTTAGAAAGGTTTTTGTTATTGTTTTGAGATAAGGTTTGCCTTTGTAGTCCAGGCTGGCTCCGAACTCATGGCAATCCTCCTGCCTCAGCCTCTGGAGAACTGGAATTACAGGCGTGTGCCACTACACTCAGTTTAGAAAGATTTTACTTCCAAGGTGTTTTTTCTTATAGCCAAGTTTTAGAGAACATAATTAAAATATTTTCTCACTCAACTTCTAAAAAAGAAATACATTCCTGTGTTAAAATAAGTAGATAGACGTGGGTAAGAAAATGCTTTTTCAAGAGAAATGTCCAAAGAATTAATCTTGACTAAAGATTTAAGGGAGTTAGAACGAATCTGATTTGAAATTCTTAGTGTATACACAGACATTTTGGCACTTCTTACAGAGCAAACTAAAACACCACTGAAAAGCAGAGGGCCCTCAAAGTCAATACTGCGGCGATGTAGCACTGGTATTTAAAAAGAAATAGATTTTACTTGATGGACATTTACTTGAAATCATTCATCTTCTTTACTAGCAACTTATTTTTGCTTTAATGAAATTCACAAGTAAAACAACTCGTGTGATGAAAGCTGAAAATTTATGAATTGTTCTAGACTTTGGGGCAGTTGTAAGCAAATGGGAAATCTGTACTGTCGTGCCACCCTCACAGAATATAAAAATTCAAAGATTTACTTAGGAAACATCAGCAGGTGGGCTTCAAAGGTATCTCAGTGGTACAGCAGCACCTGTAATGCCTGGGCCCTGGGTTCTATCCCCAGTACCACCCAAACACACAACAGCACATGACATCACAATTTGTAGTTAAGTAGAAAATAGGCGATAAAAGAACGAGCAGGTTAAACTTTGGTCAACACACTGTATAGACACCTGAGTGTATTCATGCCAGGCTGCTTTCCCACCCAAAAACGCCCCCATGTCAGCGTCACTGGCTCCTGTGGCCCCAGGAGGTGAGGCTCACACACAGATCGATCTCAGGAGGGAGATCTATTTAAACTGGCACTGTGCCCACCCAGGAGTCCCAGGTACACTCCTTGCCGAAGGCTGGGGGGCAGACCTAACGCACAGGCGGAAGGGGCGAGAAAGGGAGACGGAGGGCACCAGAGGAGAAGCCGAGAAAGGGACACCGGAGAAGGGGAAGGAGGTGTGCATCTGTCAGCGCCACCTGGTGCCCACAGGCTGGCTGTACCAAGCTCTGACCTTTAGTAAGAAAAGATGCTGGGGAGGGGCCGCAGGGTGAGGACACAAAGGGGGGCCCAGAACAGAACATGCTCGAGAGCTCACAGGATCCCAAAGACACGCCGCAGCTCCTCGGCTCACCAACGGGACGCCACGCGTCACATCGGCCAACACTTATCTTGGGCCCATGGAATGTCAGGGGGCAGGGACAAACCGCAAGCAAAGTTCTTCTCTTGCAAAAGATATCACTACTCTTGTTCATCCCACTCGGTGCTGCCGATTCCACGCAAAGTGGTCAACAGGATGACAGGAACACCGGAGGCCATTGTACTATGGCTCCCCTGTTACCAAGAGGAAGGGCTGACATTTGCGATCCCCATAAATACAGGGCATTTTAACAGAAGAATGCGAAGATGCCACGTCCACAGGCACGTGCAATGTGAAGATGCATTCGCCACCCCCGTCTGACTTTCAAGGACACGTCAGGCCTGAGCAGCTGTGTGGGGGAAGCAGCGGAGGACTCCTGAAACGCCCGGTTACACGCTCCTCTGACAGCAGTGTGGGTGGGGCAGAAGACAGAGCTTTCTTGAGCAGCTTGCTCACCCTGACCCTCTCTACACTGCCGGAAAGTCACAGGAGGCGCTACAGGGCCCACGCTCCCCAGGGTGAGCTCTGCGCTGCCAGGGGGTCTACCTGTTACCACTCCCATTTCCTAGTAATTCTTCACATCAGCAACAGGCTCTCCCTAATGTAGCAGCTCCTTCCTGCCTCTCCCCTCCAGAACTTCCAGGGAAATGGTCACCATTACCTGGTAAGCGGACATGACTTAGGCACTCTGCAACCCTCAGGCATATAATACTTCTATTAATCATTCTGACAGACTTGTATGTCTCCTGTCAATTCAGCCCCATGGTCACAAAGTTTCCAGCAAGGCTCTTTGGCCAGTTCAGGAGCATTAATAGAATTCTCAAACATGAAACCTCCCCTGGCCTCCACACAATTGCAGACTCCATCTCAATGTCGCTATAATTCCAACAAGGAGAAGGAAGTTTCAAGAAATGGGGCAGCAGGTAAGAGAGAGCTTCAACATCTCTCCAGCTTGTTTTGGTTCAACTGTTTTTTTGGAAGACACAGACACACCTTCTGCACTTCTCGATGTACAATCCCATGTCAAATGAAGATTCTGGGGTTTACGTATCATTTCATTTTCCTCCATTATTTGAAATAATTGCAAGGTGGCTAAACTTAGTATAATTTTCTGGCATTATATATTTAAAACACTGAATTTAAAAGTATTTTGATTCAGTATTATTTATAGCCATGGTCATGTTGTTCATTTTACTAAGTTAAAATGCTCAAAATAAAAAATTTGAACGAGTGATGCCATCTCAGTTCTTTCTTTTAGAATAAATTACATTCAGACTGCATTAGTAAGTACAATGAGCACATTATTTTATCTCACAATTTTAAAACATTTCATCTTTCAAAGACAAAATTTTTAGAAGATAGCATATAAATTATAAACAATAGCAAAAACTAAATTTATTTCTCACTAATATGTAAGCTAATCTAAATTTCATAATATTTGCGGCCAGCAGTGTAGTCCAGCGGTAGAGCACCTGCCTAGCAAGCACAAGACCCAGAGCTCAATCTCCAGAACTGCTGTATAAACAAACAAACCAACAAATTTCTTATTTGGTCACATATTTCCTCTAGTCTACTACTAATGGTTTTTAAATACTTAATACTGATACAGTATCAATACTGACACTACTTCTCTTTGGTTATTAAGTATTCTTAGCAATTATTTTACTAGTATTTTTATCAGCATTTACTACTGATTGATTCATACTATACTATGAGTAATAGCCACATCTCTGAAAATCCATTTATTTTTGTATGTATTTAAATAATACTGCAGAGCTGCACCGTATCATCTTTATTAATTTACTTATCTTTTTATAATGTGCATCTGACTTCCATATTTTTGATGAACAGATTATTGATAGAAATTTTAAAATACCCAAAAAAGGATGTTTTTTAAAACATAGAACACATAATTCTGTTGACTTCAAACAACTCTGATGGACATTTATTTTTAATTTCCTGAGACATTGTAAGATTAAAAGTAACTGTTTTACATTAAAATTTGATTTGCAAATGTAAAAGACGACATATTAATATAGACAGAAACACCGCTCCACAACCGCACACATAGTCTTTATTTAGAGGAAATCCGGTCCACCTTGTAGCTCAGTGTCTACGCAGAACACCTGCTTAGCCCGTGCAGGGCCCTGGACTCCACCCCCAGCACCCCAGTCAGTCAGCCAGCCCCATATACACTGCTAGTGATGTTGCCTACCTGGCAGTCATCCACCTTTGTTCTCATCACTCCTTTCATATATTCTTTGTCCATGGTAGGAGAGACACCAAAACTGTTTCCCATACATAGTATTTCTGCTTTTCCATCTGGGTAAGTCACTTCCACCGAACCGTTGAGGATCACAGACCAGGAGTCCAGCTGGTCAGAGAAATGGAGACAAAGCAGAAAATAATACTGTGGCCACAAGTGCTAAATGTCCTGAGTTGTAGCCCCAGCACTGCAAAACAAACAAAAGAACTAAAGCGCTATCAGTGTATCATGTGTAATGCTACATGATGGAAAATAAAATAACAGAATTTGGAAATTAAAAATAAATGTCCATCACACAAAATTAGTATCTCACAATTCTTGACAGATTGTCACTAATTTTTTTTGGAGGAAAAAAAGTGCTGCACTGAGAGGCCCGCAGATGAAAGCCCTTGAGCTGAGACGTTCACCAACCTCCTCGCCGTCATTCAACACGACGGTCCCTGCTCGCTCCACCACAGCAAACACCATCACGGCGCAGAGCTCGCGCCGTACTGACATCGTCATGTTCGCAAAGGCAGGCAGCTGGTGCATGAATTCCAAGAGTTGTTCTGAAAAGCAACACATACTCCACGTCAAAACCACAACTTTTATTAAAAACAAGTCTTCAGAAAGAAAGCTTTAAGCTGGTGCACGCCTGTAATTCCAACTACCCAGGAGGCTGAGGCAGGGGTATTCTAAGTTTGAGGCCATCCTGGGCAACTTAGCAAAACCCTGATGTCTCAGAATAAAAGGGGCTGGGGCTGTGGCACAGCATTCTCTGGGTAGATTCCCAGGACTGAAAAGCAACAAGAACAACAAGAAGGGCTTTCAGTACTTCAAGGTTCTGTCTTTGCAAATGCTGTACAGTTTTACCTACTGATTTAGTATAATTTTAACTTCTACTATGTTTACTAAGACTTGTCACTGTGGACGTAGTGACATCTCCTTGCTGATTCAGAGGCAACGGTAGACAACCCAAATTCCAGCAGCAGAGAAGAAATTATTAGACTTCAAACAGGGAATTCCAATTAGAAATGAGCTGTGATCTTGTTAACACATATTAAGAGTTGGCTGATGAAATGAAGCTCTGAGAATTTCCAGTATGTCAGCAGGTCCACTCTAGTGCTTTTTGGTAGGTAACTAAAATATTTAGCAGAAACAACTGTCTTTAATTCAAAAACATTCCAAGGAAGATTTTCTGTGGGCCAGGAAAATTTATAAAACTTAGACATTTAAAAATTTACAACATGATGTGACAAATATAAATGAGAACAGGGACAGCATTCCTTGTCCTGCAGGCTGGCAAGCAGAGAATCTGCTCCTCTTCCTCCGGTGACATCACAGAGGACACCGGACACTTTAGGCTGCTGACACAGATGACGTCACGCTTCTCAAGTCCTGTGCTTCCTTATTATCAAGTCTCCTTATTCACTGCCTGTTAGCTTCCCTCCTTCCTCTGCCCCTGGCTCAGTGGGGGCGCGCGTTCCTCAACAGGGAGGAAAGCAAAGTCCAGACACACAACAGGATTCTGGCCTGCTGCCTCCAAGGGCATGCTGGGCTCTACACGGGTGGTACAGGCACGGGGTGCACGTCAGATCTGCTGGTACCTGCCTGCTATCCTACCCGGGCAAGCCGATTAATTCCCCAAGGCGCAGTTATCTCACTTGCAAAATAACAGCACATCTACCTCATTGAATAGTTGTGAGAATCAAATGCAGTAACAGAGCTCCTATCACAGAGCACATACTCAGTAAAAGAGAACTGCTACTATCGTGACTATAGCGTATCATTCAACCTCTCAGCAAAACAAAAATTCTGCATTTTTCTTGTCACTCACATAATCAAATTGTCCCTACGTACATTCCTTTTGTGAAATCTGAGGGAAGAATTGCTAAAGACAAGTACAACAGAAAGGTATGTTCTGTCAAAGCACTACACTTCCCAGAAGCACACACACAGCGGCCTCCTGTGGTCCTGCTGCGTACCGTCATGTTCTGACTGGACTCTCCCGCTCCCTCCCCCAGAGTCCTCATTATGCAGGGTGGCTGTGGCCGTCAGAAGCACAATAACGATGAGCGGAACCCAGGGAGTCTGTCCAACAGGACCGGTTCTCCAACCTGACCCAGGCTTATGTCTGTGTCAGGCAAGCAATTTACTTCTGTGACCAGAACCTTTTTAAAAAAGACAAAAAATCTGTGTCCTGCCCCAGTACAGATTTAGTCCTGGAACAGTAGTAAAGTAATTCTGGAAGCACTGCAGACGACGCTCACCTACCCAGACGCAAGGCTGGAGTCGGTGCTTTACGCATGCACCAGCCCAAATAGAAATGTGAAGCAAGCGAGGAGAAACTCGACCAGCACAGCACAGTTAGCTCCGCGGTTCCCGCTCTGTCTGCACACCCTCACGGCCTCCCTCACCACGAGGAGCTCCAGCACTACCAGCGGACCAGACCCACACTTCCTCCCCAGCAGTTGCTGAATTTCCTTGGGTATGCAAGGTTCAAGGCTTTAAAGGAAACATGAGACTAGAAACTGATCACTGTCAGAGGTATTTTGAATTTAGCATGTTTAGGTAACAGAAGTCATTATCACAAATCTGACTGGGGATGAAGTATGCAGAAAACAAAGTATCTTTACGGACATTTGCTAGAACGAGCTAGTGACTTGCAGACATGGGCTTCGCTTTGTGATGGATTCCTAGTCTATTAGTGGGTCTGTTATGGCTGTTCTCTCGATGTCCCCCAAAGCCTCCTTGGCTCGGGGCGGAGCTTGCGGGCGGTGACTGCACCGGGCAGCGCGGTGCTCATCCGTGGACTGGTCCGGCCACGGGTCTGTAGCGGCGGGGGGGGGGGGGGGGACACACCTGACCGGAAGGGGCAGGTCCCTGGGCTCACTGACTGAAGGGCCCATCCTCATCACTCTCCGTGGCTCCTGCCTTTGCGCTCTGCTTGTGGCCACCCTGGGTGAGCAGTTTCTCCTGGGTCACGCCCCTCTGCCATGCCATCCTGCCGTAGGGGCAGCGGACTAGGGGCTGAAACGTGAG